AGACAGTGAGGCCAGCTCTGATCTGGCCTTCTGCAAGGGAATGCATGCCTGGATCTGCTTGTCCGGTACAGCACATGCCCAGTTTGACTAGTGTTTGGCCACCTTGAAAGCTCCCCTGTATTCTTTACAGCACAACTGGGTCTACCTCTCTAATGACCTAAGTATTTGAGGTTGAGGGAAAGGCTTCCCTATATGCACCCCCAGATGTGGTGCACTGATGCAGCACAGGGCCAGACTGCCTGCACTTTGTGTCTTAGAGCCTTGGTACACAAGTGCAGGCCAGATCAACATTGGAAGGGTTGCCTATGCACCTATGACCTGGGCCCCTTTTAGGGAGCTGCCATGCTCATCTGGCCTTCTGTGGAAAACTGTCCTCCCCCCTCTTCTCTGCCTCCTAGGGACCTTGAGCTCAGGGCAGGCAGAACAGATGGTTCTCCTTAAGAAAGGCAGCCACTGACTGAGCTGAAGAGCCGCTAATTTGATCAATACACGGATGCCCTGGTGAAATCTGGTATTTCCAAAGGCCTGGGCCAGCACTGTTTCTTTCTGCCAGGTCTGCTTTAGCCGTTGCAGTGCAGTGTCCTGTGGTGTCTTGCTCAGATTCACATGTGTGAGGTCTCATGGCGTGGAGCTCAGGAGCTTTTGGGATCTTGGCTCTCAGCCTCACACCAAGAGAGCTGTGCTCTGTGGTAAAGGAATGGCTGGGAATGTGAAGAGGCTCTTATTGCCCCTGCTAATGGTCCTGGTGATGGAGGTGATAGTGACGATGGTGGAGGTGATGGTAGTGGTGATGATGGTGGTGGTGGTGATGGTAATGGTGATTATGGTGGTGGCGATGGTAATGGTGGTAGTGGTAGTGATGGTGATGGTGGTAGTAGTGACAGTGATGATGATGGTGTAGTGGTAGTGATGATGGTGGTGATGATGATAATGATAGTGGTGATGGTAATGATGGTGGTGGTAATAGTAGTGATGATGGTGGTGATGGTGATGGTGCTGATAATGATGGCAGTGCTAGCAATGGTAGTAGTGATGATGGTGGTGGTGGCAATGGTAGTTGTGATGATGATGGTAATGATGATAATGATTGTATTGGTGATGGTGTTGATGATGATAACTGTCCTGTTTTGAGCACTTGGTATAGTATGTAGAACAGCTATACTATTATCCCCTAGTACACAGATGGAAAACCAAGACACAAAGAGTTCCTGTGACTTGCCTAGATTGGTAGTGGGCCTTGATTTTTGTCCCAGGTGGTTTGGCTCTAGCACCTCCAATCAGCACACTTAATCCTCACCCCCTTGCTTCTCATTTGTAAGCCCTATGAACACCCACTCAAGACCTCTGGAAACATACAACAGCCAGAGGAACAACTTTAATGGGCGGCAGTGGCTTCTAAGAATAAACAGTGAGTGGCTCAGCATGGTCCCCAGGGCTTCGTGTACCTCTGACCCCCACCTCTGCCTCAGCTCCCTTTGCCTGTCCATCAGGCACCCATGCTCTGACCTCCAGCTCTTCCTCCAATCCCTAAGTCTAGCCCTATCTTAGGGCCTTTGAGGGCTGTACCTTTGCCTGGAATATTGTGACCTGGGAGGCCCCACACAGACAGAAGAAACTTCTACCAGCCTCCTGTCTGTCATTCAGTCATAGACCTTTTGTCTCCACTTGGCCTAAGTCCTGGGCAGGGACTTTCAGGACTCTTGTTTCATCAGTTTCAGCCCTGGCACGTGGTCACATCTTTGGCAACTCTACATAGCTATGCTACATATGGATCAGCGACTGGATCGGGGAGTGAGAAGGCAAGAAAAGAAATTCTTCAAATCCTCGCTGGTTTAGATGAACCAGACAAAGTCAGACTGGTTTAAGGAAATGTGGCTGATGGGAAAAGTGACATTTATAGTTCTCAGGACAAAGTGATAGGGTGTAGCCTGGTGGCTCCACCAGTGAACTGCTTTATTGATTGATATTATGTTACTGAAATTGAACCCAGGGCCTGTACATTTAGACAAGTGGCCTGCCCCTGTGCTATACCCTGGCCCAAAGAGACCGTTTTATTTATTTTTATTTTATTTATTTTATTTTATTTTGTGTGTCTCTGGGGTGAGGTTGTGCGTGCCACAGTACATGTATAGATGTCAGAGGACAACTTGCAGGAGTTGATTCTCATCTTCCACCATGTGGGACCTGGGGATTGAACTCAAGTCATCAGTCTTGGCAGCAAGTGTCTTTACCTACTGAGCTATCTCACCAGTCCAGGGAATTTTTTTTTTTTTTGTCTTTTTGAGACAGGGTCTTCCTGCAGCCCAGGCTGTCCTAGAACTCACTGTGTAGACCAGGCTGGCCTTGAACTCACAGAGATCCACCTGCCTCTGCCTCCCAAGTGCTGGGACTACAGGTGTATGCCACCACGCCCAGCTGGGGATTATTTTAAATGAACAAACAGATAGGAATAATTTCTTATGGACATACCAGTTCTGAATGTGTTTTTAAGAAGTGAGAAATGTAATTTTTAGTTATTGAAATACTTCCCAAACAATCTTTCTGATGCCATTCCTCCACTAATAACATTTCTGATAATAATAGTAGTGAATTTCATCAGCACCTTCCTGAAACCTCAGATGAGCAAATTCCAACCTGATGCAGCCCCTGACCTGGCCCACATTCCTTTCCCTCTGTCCTGGGTGGGCTGCGGAATCCCACTCTGGTCATTCCTGGTGCTAGGGACTAGGGCGAAGGAGACATCTGCAGATGGACTTCTTCAAGGTGGCCAAACATCCCCAGACCTTTTACCTTGGGTTTTTTTCAAGGTCTGTATAAGAGCATTCAGCTTTGAAGAGTGCCGTTTGTGTAAAAGCCTAGAATAGAGTTCACCCTGCTGCCTAAGGAGTCTGCACTGAAAACCAAACACCTGAGTCTCCTTAAGACAACTGATGCAAGACTGTCCCTGGCTATTTGATTCAAAGTTTCCAAAAGTGGGAAACATGCCACACACCCAGTAACAGAATGGATAAACAGATTGTAATATGTTCCTGCAGTGAGATGATGCACTGAGATCAGAAAAGGGTGCCAGGGGGAGTGGGCGTTGGAGAGATAGGTCAGCAGTTCTAACAGCTCTGGCTGCTCTTGCAGAGGACCAGGTTCAGTTCCCAGCACCCACATGGCAGCTAACAACCATCCTTAACTCCAGTTCCCATTTAATACCCTCTTCTGACCTCTGTGGGCATTGCATAACATGGGTGCACTTACATACATGCACGCAATACACTTACACACATAAAATAAAGATAATAAGTAAATATTTTTAAAAATAAAAAAAGGGCATGGGGGTAGAGAGAGCACTGCTTAGCCTCTATCTCTAGCATGTCGTGACCTTGCAGTGAGCCCACTGAGTCTTGGGGACTTCTACAGTGGATGGGTTCTTGCCATCTGCTACAACTGCTCAGTTGATAGAGTGCTTGCCTAGTATTCCTGAAGCCCTAGGTTTAGTTTCCAGCATTGTATAAACTGGCCATGGTGGTGCATGCCTATGATTCTAGCACTGGGGAGATGGAGACAAAGGGGATCAGAAGTTCAAGGTCATCCTTGGCTACATAGGGTGTTGGAAGCTAGCCTAGGCTACATAAGAGCCTATTTAAAAAGAAAAAAATTTCAAGACAAATCAGAGTAAAGGAAAGTTAGTAAGTAAGTTTATTGATTAAACAGAAAGGGAAGGCATGCTTGAAGAGAGCCACAGGGCTCTACAAGAGGTACATGCCCATGACCCGAGTGGTTGGTACATGTGACGCAGGGCTTTAGAGCAACTTAATTAGCAACAAGTTCAGAGCCAGGGTGTCCTGGCATACCCCTTATTCACAGAATTCTGTCCTTGAGGAGGAAGCTTTGAAGGCACACAGTCCAGTTGGATGTGGGAGGGCTTGCTGAGTGGAAGCGTGGGGCAAAGGGGCCCTCACAGGTCACTTGGAGGCTGGACTGCAGGCACAGTTGATCAGCCATTTTAAGCATCTTGTTTGTGATGCTTCTCAGAAAGGGGAGTGTAGATCTTTTGTAGGTGGCCTGGTCAGTTAAGTCAAAATTCCTGGATGTGAGCCAGGACAGGACAAAAACCAGAACCAGGAGAGTAGGGGAAGGTGGCTTTGTCTTCTCATGCAACTGGTATTTCCTAACTAGCTACTAGAATGGGAGGCCTGCAAGGGGAAACCAGGAACTTTCCAGAATGTGTCTTTAGCTGGGTGGTGGTTGCACAGGTGAGAGTATGTATGTGTCTATATAGTCATTAAGCTTAACAATTTTTGAATATTACTCTATGTAAGCTATAACTCAGTCAAATATATATATATATATTATATTTGTGAAACCATGTAGTAAATCTTTCAAAAAGGAAATAAAGGGGCTGGAGAGATGGCTCAATAGTTAAGAACACTGACTGTTCTTGTAGAGGACCTGGGTTTCATTCCCAGCATCCACATGGTGGCTAACAACTGTCTGTAACTCCAGTTCCAGGGGATCCATTGCCCTCTTCTGGCCTCCCATGGTATTGCATGGCATGAATGCACTTACATACATGCAGGCAAAATACTTATACACATAAAGTAAAAATAAATAAACCAAAAAAGAATTTAAAAAGAAATAAATATGCAAATGATCCCCCCACCCCAGGAAAAGACATCGATTGCTTGGACTCTTGTTTGAACTCTTCATGACATCCTCATGGCTTTAGCATCAATGTCTGCACTTCAGAGATGAAGAGCCTGTGGTTCATGGCATGCTCGGGGTCCCATAGCTTGAGTGGTAGATCTGGAAGTTGCTTGCTTTCAGCCACACACACAGGCCCTTCTGATCTGCCTCTGAGTTTCTGAGTTTCCTCACCAAGTTCATGTTCCCATGTTGCCTTGGACCCACAGCTGGCCTTCTTTGCAGAGGGTGGGGTGGGGATCATCAGCGTCTTCAGCTACTCCTACCGCGTACCAGGTGGCTCTAATGCAGCTGTATCTCCCCCTCAGCACCCCTTCGTCAGCAGCATCACCAGTAACAAGGCTCTTCGGGAGTTGGTGGCTGAGGCCAAGGCTGAGGTGATGGAGGAGATTGAGGATGGCCGGGAAGATGGAAAGGATGATGGGGAAGAGGAGGACACTGTGGATGCTGCCTCTGTAAGTAAAGGAAACGTGGGGGCTGGGGAGGGTGAGTCCCAGCTGCTCATAGGAGGGAGGCTGGGGAAGGTTCTTTTCAGCTTCTCCAGGCTGACTTCTGCTCAGCTAGTCCTCCCACATCCAGCTGGACTGTGTACCTTCAAGGCTTCTTCCTCAAGGACAGAATTCTGTGGATAAGGCATATGACAGCACATCCTGGCCCTGAACTTGTTACTGATTAAGTTGCTCTAAAGCCCCATATCACATGTACCAACCACTCAGGTCACTCAGGGTTAGGCCTAGAGGGTGTTAACCAGATCCAAATTCTCAAAGAGGATGTAGAATGTAGATTTTCACATGAAATATTCCCATTTCTGAGAGTAACTGATTCCTTGCTCTCCAGCCTATTTTCTTAGTGTGGCTCACAGATATGTTTTAACACTGAGGTAAGTAAGTAGATGGGGTGAGAGGCATCAGGCCAAGGGACTGAAGGATACCCCTCACCCACTGGGCTGCCCTGAGTGTCAGGGACCAGTGTCTTGGCACATTTGTAAGCCATTTGCAGCTTCAGCACTTGTTGAATTTAAATAGAAATGAAAGCGAGTTAAAATGGATAAAAGCCGCCTGAGCCAAGCATCGCATCTGTGGGCTGGATCCTGTCTGAGCTGTCTAAGTAGGATCGCTGCTTCAAACAGTTTGGCTTGGGGACTTCTGCTGGGGGCTTGCTTGACCCAGAGGGACCCAGTATCCAGGGAAGCAGGGCTGAGTTGTCATGGAGCTGCATCCCAGCCCCTTGACATTTGTTGTCTTCAGATTAAAACTTTTTTTTTTTTTTGGTCTTTTTGAGACAGGGTCTCCCAGTAGCCCCAGCTGGCCTGGAACTCACTATGTAGACCAGGCTGACCTTGAACTCACAGGGATCCTCCTGCCTCTGCCTCCAGAGTGCTGGGATTAAAGGCATGTGCCACAACGCCTGGCTCAAATTAAAATTTTTAATTAGCATACACAGTATTGTTGTAGAATTTTTGGACAACTTGCTTTGTTGATTCTCCTCCTCCATCTTTCCCCAGTCCCCCAGACCCTGACTTGTACCCCATCATAACCTCCTTTCTGTTTTTGAGTTATATGTGGTCATTTATTTTCTATTCATAGAAGTGAGTATTCCAGCTCATCATAGCAATGTTTCTAATACTTTCTACTCCACAAAAACTAAAATGCAAGGGGCAGACAAGCTAAATTCAGCCCCTGAATTCAGGATTGACTGCGACTTTATGATTTTATTTTAGATGTGATTAGTTACCGTCAAGCAATCAACAGATAGCATGTGAAAATTAAGATTGCCAGTCTGGTACTCGGGCTCAGTTGGTAGAGAGGTTGCCTAGCATGCATAAAGCCCTGGGTTCCAGCTCAGCACCTCATAAACCTGGCATGATGGTTCATACCTTTAATCATAATACTTGGGAGGGAAATGCAGGAGGATCAGAAGTTCATGGTCATCCTTAGCTACAAATCAAGCCAGAGGCCAGCCTGGGTTACATGAGACCCTGTCTCAAAAAAAAAAAAAAAAAAAAAAAATCCATATTGCCTGCATGTGTTGAGAAATTAGGAGGTCTGGCCTCAGGGGTGAAAGGGTTATTTTCCCCACATTGTGTCGACTGGCTGAGCCCTCTCTGCAGCTGGTCAGTCTCCTAGAAGCGGGGAGCTATAATTAGGTAAAGAGAGGAGAAAAGTCCATTCCTCATCCTGGTGGTAGTGGGGAGCTGTGGAGACTGGGCTCAGTGGTCCCTGTCACACTCTACTGGCCTTACTGATTCACCTGCAGTGGGCCTGGTTTTCCAGGCCCCCTTACATGGCTGACTACTGCCGTGGACCCCCAGCAGCTCAGCCTTGATTGTTTTCTAGCCCATGGGCAACCATACTCAGGACTCTGCTGATGCAACTCAGCCAAGCCACAACGCTGACAAGGACTCACAGGCCCCGATGCCTCCCAGCCAGCCTCAGGAACCTGTGAATGGGCCCTGCAGCCAACCCTCAGAGGATAAATCTCTCCAAACCACCAGCCTTGCAATTGGGGCCTCCAGCAATGAGAATGGCTTAAAGGTGCCTGCTCCCCTCCGAAAGTCCCGACCAGTATCCATGGATGCCAGAATTCATTTGGCTGAAGAGAAGCAAGTCACTGACCAGGCTGGGGACCTCAGTCCAGCAGCCAGTAGATCCCAAAAGGCGAGCCAGAGCCGGCCCAACAGCAGTGCCCTGGAGACCTTGGGTGGCGAGAAATTGGCGAATGGTGGCCTAGAGCTCCCCAGCCTGGTAGCTCCAAGCCATTCTAAGAGGGCCTCAGACTGTGGCAGCCTGTCCACTTCTGAGAGCACGGACTACAGCACCTCCCTGTCCACCGACCTGTCCCTGAACAAAGAGTCTGGATCACTGTCCCTCAAGGTAACATCACCTATCACCCTGAGGGGAGGAGCAGGTGGGTTGGCCAGGGTTCCAGTGCTTAGGCTCAGTTTTCAAAAGCATCCAAAGCTGCCTACATTGTATTTTATTTGTGTATTGTTTTTAGATTTGTTTTTATTGAGGTTTTGTACATTTCATACAACAGTTCTTAATCAAATTTAGAGCCCCTCCCCCATCAATGTCCCCCCTTATGTATTCTGCCATACACGTTAAGTTCTATCCAGTCAGGCATTTGTACCCAGATGTCCTTCAGTGCATGTTCACCCCCTGGAGTCTAGTCAGCCCATCTGTAGATGGTAAGTAAGGTCTATTCTCCCTTACCCAGTAGTAATCAGTTTCCAGCAGTTCCCAAATTAGGGCCTGCCCACCACCCATTTCCCTCCATTGCCGCAAGTTCACACATACAAGCTTCCAGTGGCCTGAAAGCCTCTGCTTCCCTATGTTCATGAACCAAACTTGGCTCTTACGATCTTTCCTCCCCGCCATTCCTCAATGGTTTGTGTATTTTTGTGGGGTACTGGAGGTAAACCCAGAACCTGGTACATGCTAAGCACTTATCCCCCTTCATCCCCAGCCTCTTACCTCTCATTTTAAGTGGTTCATGAGGCTGGCTCCTTGTTTAAGATTTTAGCTCATTTCATAAATTAATTTTAAAAGTAAAATTTTTCTTGCCTGGGGGAGTCAGCCATGTGATCAGTGGCTGAACAGGTAGAGTCAGTGAGAGGAACTGAGCTCCCTGGTCTCCTGTCTGGAGGTGGGTGACACTAAATAACCATAGCCACCCTGTGCAAAGTACCTTAAAAGGAATTAAGGAGCTGTTCCTCCCACAGTTTCCAGATTGGGCAGCTGAGACCCACTGGGAGTTGACACAAGTCACAGGGTGGTTTGACCTCAGACTGGTCTCCCAGCTGTGTGTGCCTTTCTGCCCACCCTTCCTTGAGAGACTAGAAGGGGTCACCCCTTTCCTTGTCTGCCTGGGATGCTGTTAATCTTGGTCACTGGAACTCCCAAATAAGCCTGACTTAGGGGCCTGGGGCAGGAGTGATGCTGTATATTTCTCTATTTACTTTCAAGATTTACTCAGGGCAAAATACACAATAGAGACACAAACAGCTGTTAAGTGAAAGGCCAGTGAAGGCAGGAAAAGCAGCCTGCCAGCCCTCCATTAGCCTCTGGGGCAGAACGTACAGTCCCAGCAGGTGTGTCCACGGCAGCTTTTCTTTTCTTTAAATTGACACAGATTGTTATAAACTGTAGCTGCCCAATTTTAGGCAGTAGCCTTTATGTAGAAGCATCATCTATAGGACAGGGGACTCGATGTAGCTCAGTGGTAGAGTGCTTGCCTTACATATATGAGGCCCTGGTTTGATCTACAGCACCATTTTTATATATAATTAAAAGGCATGAAGTGAGCCAGGTGTGCTGGTACAAGCCTTTAATCCTAGTGCTCCAGAGGCAGAGGCGGGTGAATCTCTGTGAGATCAAGACCAGCCTGCTTTATATAGTAAGTCCCAGGCCAGCTGGGGCTATAGGGAAACCCTGTCTTAAAAAGAAGAAATTCCAAAAACAAGAGTGACCTGCCTAGAGAGCAGGGTCCCTGCCTCTTCTCCAGGGTGTAGGAGCAACCCGCTGCAGCGAAGCCGAGGATACGAGCAGTTCTCAGAGCCCCTGGCTGTGTCAGTGTCCGCTGCTGTGACCTGCTAGTGCTGGATGGAGGCCCCGTGGGCAGGAGCAGTGCTCACAGGAGGGCTGTGGCCATGGCTGCCCTCTGCTCTCCTTCCTACTCCTGTCTTCGCACTAGTTGGCCCTGTCTTCAGTGGACAGAGCTGAGCGTGATGGATCTCTGCTATCGTTGTGCAGATCCCCAGCGAAGCGTGCTGGCAGAAACATACAGAGTGAGGAACCAACTCTTAGTTACCCTGGCATCCCACTCCCCTTGAAGGGACTGTCAGGCCCTTGGGGTGATCTGTAAAGGCAGGGCTGGGCTCTAACAAGAAGGGCCTTGGAAGCTGGCCAAAAAAAGATCAGAGGCAGTGGGCAGGAAACCATGCAGGCCGTCCCTCCTCTGGGTCAGAACCAAGCCCTTCCAAAGGGCATATGCCATACCACCATGACACCTACCAGGGCAAGCAGCCCTCTGTAAGTAGCCAAATGTTCACTGTGCAGTTATTCATAAAGAGAAGTAAGCATGAGGAATTGTCCCATGTTTCTGGCTCCGGAAGGCCGGAAAGGCACAGCTGCCTATGGGCTCCAGCCAGGTCAGGTGTGGCTACCAAATCCATTAGGGATTGTGGTCTGCAGTCATGATTGGCAGAAGTAAATAACCAGGTATTGAACCCTGCCATGAGCTGGCACTGCTGTGTGCCCATGCAGCTGCCATCCATTCTTCATGGCCACCGTGGGAGATGAGTTCTGTTTTATCCTGGTCGGTAGAGGAAGCTGAGACTCAGGCAGGACACGGGACTTGCCCAGGGTCCCAGAAACAGCAACCAGTGAGGATCAGCACCAGCTCTTTCTGGTGTTGAGTCCTGTTCTGTGAGAACGCCACTGTGAAGCCTGAGACCAGTGGAAGGAAGGGGATGAGGTCCGATGCTCAGGCCCTGCTTGGGAAGAGGTACATTGGACAGCCATGTTCTTCCTGGGCCCAGGCTGTGGGGCTGGGAGGCCTATGGACCTCACCCTGCCTATGCCGTGGATTCCTAGCTGAACTTGGGCATGTTTTCCTTACTAGGACTTAAGGCTACACAACAAGACCCTGAAGCGGACCCGCAAGTTTGTGGTAGACGGTGTGGAGGTTAGCATCACCACCTCCAAGATCATCAGTGAGGATGAGAAGAAGGACGAGGAGATGAGATTTCTCAGGCAAGCCTGGAAGGCACCAGTGTGGGAATGGGTGGGGGTGCCGTGAGAGGGCAGGAGAACTGCCTGCCGAAGTGTGAAGTGGGAGAACTGAGGAGGCCAAGGGAACTGGTTTTACTTGAGGCTCTTCTAACCACCTACCCACTCATCTGCCTATCTGCCACCCACCATTCTGTCCATGTACTCACTCACTCACATGCCCAATGACCCATCTACCCAAGCATCTATCTACCTATCTGTGTCTCTGCTCATCTGCCTGTCTACCTAGCCCCATCCATCCACCTGTCCATCTTCCTACTCATCTATCCACCCATTTACTCTATCCATTTATCCACTATCTATGGACTGAAAGGTTCCATTCACCCAATTGTTCATCTGTTTTCCCTTCCACTTACCTACTCATCTGTGAATCCATCTATCCATGTATCTACCTGTCCATATACTCACCCACCTAGCCACCCAGTCATCCATCTGTCCATCCACCTACCCATGTCTATCCTCATCCACCTACCTATATAATCGTCCATTTATTCCATTCAATCACCTATTCATCATCTGTCATCCATCTTTCCATCTGTCCACCCAAGTATCCATCCATGCATCACCTGTCCATCCACCCACCAGGTGGGACAGAATGATGATCCAGATAAATGAAGCTATGGCCCATGTAGAATTCATACCTAACGGACTCTTAAACACAACACACAGCTAATTCTTGATTGTGCTGCACACTGTGAGGGGAGGCACTAGGAATTTGTGATAGTGAGTTGCCTGTGTTGAGCAGAGGTTGCGCTTAGGGAACCCCTAGTAAGCTGAGCCTGAAGGGTGAAGAGAGCACCCCAGAGCTGGGGGAGTGCTGAGCAATCTGCAGTTGATGAGGCCCTGAGGGGACCACTTGGTTTATTTCAGGATCTAAGAGGCAGGTCTTTGGTGTGGAATACCAAGGAAGTATGGCCTGTGGGTGGACAGGTTATGGAGGTCTGTGAACTGGGGGAAGGTGGAAGATTCCAGGCACAGCAGAAAGTGGAATGGCAGGCAGTGACCAGCCCTAATGTCCCTGTGGGAAAGTTTCTCTGGCTGTTCTATAGGTCTTAACTGGAGAAGGGCAAAACTGGCTTGGGAGGCAGGGCACCTCTGTCCAAGACCATCAGACTCTGGGCTCAGGCTGGGACAGTGGCTAGGAGGAGGCAGAAAAAGGGTCAGATTCCATGTATAATATGGAGGCAAGCCCAGTAAGATTGCGAAGGACTGGACAGAGGAAGAAGGCGTAAGGCAAAGCCACTTGCCAGAAACAGCTGCACACGCTCCAGTTGTTCCAAACAGCCTTCCTTGGGGACCCTATTCCACACATGCAAGGGAGGAAACAGGGTCTCTTGGTAGATAAGCTATGTGTCCTGGGTCTCTAGTTAGCAAGGAGTAGAGCAGAGATTCTGCCTGGGTCTGTCTGAGAATTCCTCCAGTTTCCATCATGCCCTTTGGCTTCCTGGGACTACTGGTAATGTTGGGTTGCTGAGTGCTGAGGAAGCTAGGGGATGGAGCTCCTGGGGGATGGAGCTCCTGAGGGATGGAGCTCCTGGGGGATGGAGCTCCTCGGGGATGGAGCTCCTGGGGGATGGAGCTCCTGAGGGATGGAACTCCTGGGGGATGGAGCTCCTGGGGGATGGAGCTCCTGAGGGATGGAGCTCCTGAGGGATGGAGCTCCTGGGGGATGGAGCTCCTGGGGGATGGAGCTCCTGAGGGATGGAGCTCCTGAGGAATGGAGTACCCTGAAGCCAAGGCTTTCCAGGCCTTCATTGTTTGGATAAATATCCTCATTCAATCCAGAAGTGAAACTTGGATGCCAAAAGGCATAAACTTATTGCCAGTGTCCTCCAGAAATGTTCTACCTATTTACGTCTGTTAGTAGCACATGAAAGTACCAATTTTCCCTGTTCATTTGCCTGTTTAGTGAAAATTTTTCCTTGTATATTTGCATTTCATATCATAGATAATTTTAAATTTTCTTGTGTTTACACTGTTCTGTACCACTTTTTGGATTAGAATCTTTCCTTTCTCACTGATTCTAAAAGTGCTGTTTATATATGGAGGGTTCATGTTTTGACTGTCAGTGAATATCAAATGGAGCCTGAGTTCCAATCAGGCCTCTAGTGGAGTCTGTGGGATTCTCTATCATCCAACCCTCCATGACTGAGGCTGTGGACCATGATTTTAGGGGCCATTTACTCACTGGGAAATGTTTGTATCCTTTCATTTTTCAGGCGCCAGGAACTTCGAGAACTTCGGCTTCTCCAGAAAGAAGAACATCGGAACCAGACCCAGCTGAGCAGCAAGCATGAGCTGCAGTTGGAGCAAATGCACAGACGCTTTGAACAGGAAATCAACGTGCGTGTGTGAGCAGGGATGGCCCAGGGCTTCTGGCCTTGGGGTTTTCTTTAGGTGGCAGTTGCAGAGGGGGCAACTGAGGCAGTGGAGAGCTGTTCCTGTGACTTCCTGAGAGGCAGAGGCAGTGACTGGTAGCCATGCTTGTAAAGGTCATTGTAGCCTGAGCCACTCAGGGGCGTTTCTAGAGGAAATCGCCTTCATAGAGGTCCATGCCACTGCCCCACAAGGCCAGTGGTCTGGTCTTCCTTTTCAGAGGAGTAAACAGACTGAGAGAGGTTAAGTAACTTGCCCTGGTCACACAGCAAAAGGGCAGCGGGGCTGGGATTCAAGCCCAGGTCTAGCCCAAGCTCTGAGCTCTCCCTTCTCCCTCCAACATATAAAGTGACTCTGCTGAGTGTTTCTGAATTTTCATTCCTTCCAGGCCAAGAAGAAATTCTTTGACACAGAGTTGGAAAACCTGGAGCGGCAGCAGAAGCAGCAGGTGGAGAAGATGGAGCAGGACCACAGCGTGCGGCGCCGAGAGGAAGCCAAGCGGATCCGCCTGGAGCAGGATCGGGACTACGCCAAGTTCCAGGAGCAGCTCAAGCTGATGAAGAAAGAGGTGACCCTCCAGGGGTGCCAGGGCCCCTCTGGTACAAGGATGGGCCTCCTTCACAGCGGAGGGGCTGCAGGGGGCCTGTTACCCCAACGTTCGTAGCCCTCCTCTGTCTTTCCTGTGCCACTTTTCCTCTGTGTCAGCTTTTTTCCACATGGCCTTGGTCAGCCTCTTTTATACCCTTCCAACTTAGCACCCCTGGCTGAAAAAACAGGGAAGGGAGAAGAGATGGTGGCTCCCCAAATTGGAGGTGCTGTTACCACTGTGCCCCTGTTCTCTGCCCTCTCTTGGTTGTTTCCCCCTCTGAGTTGGAAGGGGAAGGGGAAGGGAAGGAAGTGCATGGACCTGAGATGACAGGAAGGAGACATGCTTAGCCTGCCCTGCACAGGGCATCTGGGTCTCAGCATAGCCCATGCTTCTCCCTGTGGAGGGATCTAGTAGCTGGGATGGCCTTCCCTAGACTCTGAGGAGGAAGGAGGCAGGTAAGCAAGTGGGAGTGCCCAGAGAGGCACATCAATCTCCAACAGACAACAGTGTGCAGCCTGCCAGGGTGGGCCAAGGAGCTAGGAGTCCCAGAGCTCAGCTCCTAGACTGCACTGTGTGGGTCTAAGAGCTGCAGTAACTGCCTGCAGAGCCAGGACCATTGACCAACGCAACTGAGCCAAGGGTGGTGGACGTGAGGGACTCTACTCAGGCAAAATCAGAGACTTCAAAAAAAATCAGTAATAGGATAAAATGAATTCAAACCCTTTGTAGATAAGGGTTGGGGGTATATTAATAGCTTAGTGGTAAAACATTTGCCTAGTATGTAGGGAAGCCTGAATTCAAGTCCTGGCACTATATTAAAACAAGTCCATGAACAGACTGTTGACTCTACTAACATTGTCAGCTTAGGTAAGAGGTAGGTAAGAGGTAGGTCCTCTAGGGGTAGCATTGGAATCTGTTGTTTTTTTTCTTAATTATTTTTATGTTTATGAGTGTTTTACCTGCATGTATGTAAGTGCACCTGTGCATGCAATGCCTGTAGAGGCCAGAAGAGGGCATATGATCCCCTGGAACTAGAGTTATAGATGGTTGTCAGCTACTATGTGAGTGCTGGAAACCCAACCTGGATCCTCTGAAAGAACAGTCAGTGCTTTTAACTGTTGAGCCATCTCTCCAGCCCTGGAACTTTTCTTTTTTAAAAGTTTGGCATTTTGTTCATACTTTTGATTTGTTTTATCTTAGTGCCCGAGTTTTTGGCATCCCCTTACTTTTGTGACTGAGACTCAACTCATATCTCACTCTCCTCCCAGCCCTGGCCCACCAATGGAGAAATTGGCAGGTCTGTAGGGCATATGGTGAAGGAGGAGAAACTGCAGAGAGTGGGCTGGAGCAGGCATTGTGTCCAGTTTGGGCTCTGTGGCTCATCTGCTGTGGGGCTTTGGACAGGCTATGTCCCTGAGTCCCAGTTGCCTCTGTCAAAAGTGTTCTCTAATAGCTGTTTGATTGTCTGCAGGTATGGCCCTGTGCAGGATGTTAGGAATAGTACAATGAACAAAATAGACAATCCTTATCTTCCAGAACACTGTGGAAATGTGCCAGTGATGAACATACTGTGAACATAAACAGGCTTGTTAGCTAGAGGAAATCTGGATAGAGAGCTGGGTGGATGGAGCACATCTGTAATCCCAGAGCTTGAGAGCTAGAGGCATGAGGATCAGGAGTTCTAGGCCTGCATATGTTACATAGTGAGATTCTATCTCAAATATACATAGATATGGGGCTGGAGAGATGGCTCAGTGGTTAAGAACACTGACTGCTCTTGCAGAGGACCTGGGTTCAATTCTCAGCACCCGTATAGCAACTCACAACAGTCCATAACGTCAGTTCAAGGGATCCAGTGCTCTCTTCTGGCCTCTGAGGGCACTGCATGCACATGGTGCACATACATACATATAAAATTAAAAAGTAAATCTCTGAAAAATTAAAAAGAAAACAAAAGAGCTGACAGATGACCAATATGAGGAGAGCTTAGGAAGCAAAAAGAGATTAGTGAGAGACGAAATCAGACAAGTGTACAGAGGCCAGATCACTTAGTACATTGGGCCACAGGCAGGAAGGAGCTTGCTGTCAGAGTTCTTGCTGTTTGGCATCCATTCCTTACACAGATGCTTTGAGCCTTAAATGAGAAGACTCTCAAGTGTTAGATCCACAGTCTGCCTGAAATAGCAGGGGATACCAGTTCCTTCCTTGACTCTACCTCATCATTTACACATGTCCTTTTTGTGGATGTAGATGGAAAGGAGATGCCACCAAGCCCCTGTTCCTTTGCCAGCTACTGTTCTTATAAACTGTTCCTCCTCAGCAGGGCTCTCATGTTTCCCATATGTGACGATGTCCAGGCAGTCTGCGAAACTAGTACTGGCCAGTACTAGATTCTCTCTCTCTCTCTCTCTCTCTCTCTCTCTCTCTCTCTCTCTCTCTCTCTCTCTCTTTCCTCCCTCTCTCCCTCTCTCCCTCTCTCTCCCCTCCCTCATCCTTCCACCTCTCTCCCTGCTTCCCTCTCTTGTTTCTGTCTCTCCTGGGAATGAACCCAGAGCCTCATGCATTCTACATAGGTACCCTACCACCGTGCAGAACCACTGTCCTGATTCAATTTTAATTTTTTTTCCTTCTTTTTTTTCTGGTTGTTTTCTTTGCAAGTTTTAATGGGAATAAAGGTTTGACATCTTCACCATTTTGGCTTTTCAGGACACTGTGCTGTGAAGTTAGCTTGTTTCCCCATTACTAGTTGTCAGTGTGGCAGATTTACTTGCTATGATCACTGATCACCCATTTCTTTCTCTTTAGTGACTTTGCCCGGAAGCTTGAGTGGAGGCTCACATTTACTGTCACTTTCCAGAGCTCCCAGTGGGAGTTTTCAGTACTTTATTTGCTTCCTCAGGGACCCTCTCAGGGACTGCTCAGGGGCTCCCACAGGTGCCAGAGCTCAGGGTGCTACTTACATGTATGGTGTTCTTTCTGCATATAACCTGCCCACCTTCCCTTGAGCCTTCAGTCTCCTCTGGATTGTTTATCATTTAAAACAGTGAAACAGTGTAATAACTGTGCATGTGACTGCTATACTGAACTGTGAGGAGAGGGGAAAGTCAGTCTGTGTTCAGTAGTTTTTTTTTTTCTGAATATTTTCTACCCGGTTTGCACAGTGATGAGATTGAACGATGACATGTTTCTCAGAGTGTGCCCCTGTCACAAAGCAATCTTGAATGAGTTTCTTAAATGATTCAGCACTCCCTAACCCTGTATACTGTATGTAACCCTGAAGACTATATCCTTCAGGAACCCTAGGCAACTTTTAGTTAAAAGCTACATTGTTTTTCTGGTTGGGAAAATGGTTCACTCCTTTCTCAACCACCTGTTACTGGATGGCACAGCAGCTTGTCTGACATCTGGTGACACTAGATGGCCCCAGGGGTTGCTGACCTGAGTCCTTGTGCCCCTTTGCCAAGTGGACTCTTCTTTTACTCTTTTGTCTCCTCCCTCTGTCATCAGAGGTATGAGTATTTTGAGCATCTTAGGCGTCCTTTAAAAAAAATCTCATAGGCTGTTCTTAGCTGCTGCTTCTAATGTTATGTCCCAGAAAATGAAGTAATCCACTTGTAAAAGCACAACTCTAAGCCAGCAGTCCTTATGAAATTGTGTGATGGTGCTCACTGACTATCACTAAGCTGGGGCTGGATACTTAGCAGTTAAGAGCATTGGCTGAGTTCCCAGCACCCACATAACTCACAACTGTCCTAACTCCAGTTCTAGGGGTATCTGACACCCCCTTCTAAGGCCTCAGTGGATACTGCATGCATTTGGTATTCTTATGTATATACAGACAAAATACTCATACACATAAAATAAAAATAAAAGTTTAAAAATTGTTTTTTAGAAAAAGACTGATTCTCAGCTCCTGTCCCCAGCCCTCTGGGACATTGGCAGTGTCTACAAACATATTTGGGGGTGTCGTAGCTGGGAGATGGAATAGAATACTCTTTGGTCTAGCAGCCAGAGATGCCACAGACATTCTGTAATGCATAGGACAGCATCTCCTCTCCCTGAGTTGCCAAAGTCAATAGTGTTGCAGGTAAGAAATGCATCTAAGGTATAAAAGCCAGACATCACGGGACCAGGACTCAGCCCACAAATCTAAAACCGTTTAGAAGATAGCAAACAGGAATCGGAAAGGAGGGTGAAGCAAGCTGGCGGGGTTCAGAAGTCAGATGGTGAGCATGTGTTTGACTTTAGGAGAGTTGTCAGACCCTTCCAAATGCTCTTCTTCATTCTTTCTCCATGGCAGTGTGTGAGCAGTCCATTCGCTCCATCTTCCCCAGCGCTTGGTTTTCTCAGCTTCTCTGTTTTATTTTAACCGTCCTGATGGGTATGAAGTGGCTTCTTACTGGGGTTTTGAGTTTGTGTTTACTAATGAATATACATGAGTATATATGTGTGTGTGTGTGTGTGTGTGTGTGTGTGTATTTTGTTTTTGGTCTTTTTGAGATAGGGTCTCCCTGTAGCCCCAGCTGTCCTGGAACTCACTATGTAGACCAGGCTGGCCTTGAACTCACAGGGATCCTCCTGCCTCTGTCTCCTGAGTGCTGGGATTAAAGGCGTATGCCACCACACCTGGCTATACATGAGTATATTTACCTCTTTGCTGCCCACATATCTTTTTTGGTGAAGTGTCTGCTCAGAACTCTTTCCCCTTTATTTAGCTAGAAGATTTGTTTTTATTACTGAATTCTGACAGTTCTCTTTATATCTGGAATGCAAGCACTCAGTGAGATATGTATCTTGCAAATATTTATTCCCAGTCTGTGGTTTGTCTTGCAGTTCCTAATAGTGCCTTGTTTCCTTTTAGCAGTTATTCTTTTTTATCCTTTCATTTTATGTGTATGAGTGTATTGCCTGCATGTGTGTAAGGGCACCCGTGTCGTGCAGTGCCCTCAGAGGTCAGAAGAGGACGTCTGATCCCCTGG